TGCCCTGGCCCCGTCCTCCCCAGCAATGGGGCTCCCCAGAGCCTGCTCAGGCGATGGCCCAACAGCGACCCCGTTTCAAGAGAAGATGGCTGTTAAACTGGCAGAGAGGAGCAGGATTTGGGGCTGAACCTCTGCGTTGCACCAGGAGGCTGTGGTGTCCCCCTGCGGATGTGTCCAGCCAAAATGATTCATCCACAGCTACGAGCGGTGCCCCAGGCTCAGCCTGGGCTTGGGGGAGCGCTCCCATCTCCACAAGGGCAAAGAGGTTCTCCAGAAAAGGAATCTGGAGCCGCCCTGAACAGAAGACGTTATTTTGTTTTATTTTTAGCCTTCCTACGGATTTTCACAGCGAGGATAAAGAGCTTTGTGAAGGAGTCTATAGGATGACTCACAGAGCTGAGAAATGGTCAGCATTTCCCACTAAGTATTACATGACTTTTCCACAAGTCATCTTATTCATCCCACAAAGCTCGGTGACGGCCTCCAGCCCAACTGTAAAGATCAACAACAGTGACTGTTCTGGGGCTCACTTGCCACGTTTTTTGTTGCTGTTTTTCCAAAGGCACCATCCCCATCCCCACTGGTGGTGTCCAGGCTGCGGTACCCAAAGCGCCCTGGGGAAGGAGAAGGAAACGGGCGCCCACCTCCCCCTTGCTGCGCTCCACTCCCCCAGACAACGTGGGGTGGTCTTGGGGCAGGACCCCCTCCAGCCATGGAGGATGAGCACATCCCGTACCAGCACGGCCCCTGCCACGCAAACTGCCCCTGCCTTTACACCCCGTAACCTCTGCTGCCCCTCAACGCTGTCAGCAAAGCCAGGGCTTGTGCGAGAGGATGCTCAAAACCGAACTCCTAGGTGTTATCAGACCCAAGGGGGTCTCCTGCCTCGGCTACTCCTGACCCTCCCGGATCTGCTCCCTCTCCTGCAGAGCCCAAACACGAAGGTTTCCACAGGAGGGACCCCTGCTCGGCCGGAGAGCAGCAGCACTCGGGGCCTTCTGGAAGGAAATGCTTCCAGAGCGGAGCGAAAATCTGGTGCAGGTTGTTTCCCTCTTCTTTCTATCATTATCGACTGAGTCATAAGTGCATCCATCCCCACATCTTGAGAACGGTTTGGTTTTTATTATGCGTTGGTTTTTTTCTCTTCCCTAAACCCCCTCATTAAAAATCAATTAGCTGATGGGTAACGCTGTACAGATGCTTCTGCAGCAAGGGGCTGACATCTGCAGTGGCAGCAGCCCAGCTACTACAGCAGTAGATGTCCAGAAATATCCCACAGAGGAAAATAACCCCGTCCCCAAGCCGTGTTCTTCCTGATCCACAAAACAACCCAAGGTCCAAGCCCGCACCCACTTCCCCGGCTCCTGCGTAGTCAGCACGGTGCTTGGAGCGAGAGGAAAGTCCGATTGTCCCTAATGATGCAGCCGAAGGAGGGCTGGGGTCCGTGCCCCGTGTCCATGTTACTTCCCTGCCCAGGACTTCCTCACCCCTGCTGGAAGTGGAGCAGCTCTGCGGGTCCCTCGCACAAAGGGCCCGGGGCTGCGGCGTCACCGGGGCTGCGCGCGTGTTTGCTGCGGGGAGGGAGGGAATGAGTTGCAGCTAATGTGCAATCAAGAACCATCGCAATTACAAATGTAAATGAGCAGGCAATTGGCACTGACCTTTGTAGATTGTTAGAGGACTAATTAAGGTATGATCAGACGCTCTCTTCCAACAGATTGAGATGCATCTACACAAGCAAACATCTACGCACCGCCCCGCAGACAGCGATGCTCTTCCCTACATGCGTGCACACACCAGTGAGTTCACACACGCAGATGGACCCGGTGCTGACCCTGGCACCTCTGGCACCAAACAGGGGTGGGATGGGAGCAGGGCAGCCCCACAACACCCGGCTGCAGCACTGGGGCCGTGCTGCCCTCATCGCTGCGACCAGCGGCTCGGTGGGAAGCCAGAATGGGGAAGGGTTTTCTGCCACGCACCCCCACGGGGTTGGACACCGGCGCCTGTCAAGGTCCTGCTCAGGGCCCCGGCCTTGCCCATTGCGTCTCAATAGTCTCCCAGGCCTGGGGCTCTGCAGCTCCCCCTGTCCAGGCTGGGGCTCCCGCAGGGTGGGGTTTTGCAGAGGCAGAAATGCTGTGAGGCCTGAGGTGTTTTAAGGGAGCTCAGAAAGAGCAGTGACAAGGAAAAGGGACTCGCTTTAGAAATAAACCGCAAGCTGAGACTGTATTGGTAGGGAAACCTGAATTCAAAACAAATACAATTAACTAGAATGGGAGAAAATCCCAGCGCCGGTCACCAGGGAGTGACAGCAGCATCAAAACATCCCCTGTGCTTGCAATGGGGAAAAGCGGCAAAAAGCCCCGTTCCTCTGGGCCCCACAGGCGCAGATCAGAGGAGCGCTTTCTGCTGCAGGCGTCTGGGTGCAGGGAAGGGTTTCTGTGTCACCCGTTACCACCAGAGACGCCTCGGCACAAGGCAGTGAGGAAAGCCCACCCAGAAACACCAGTAACACACTTTGAGGACGCAGCAGGGACCTGCGGGGCTGCATGGGAGGGACCAGCGCAGGGGGACAGCGGCAAAGGCCGAGCACACCCGGCCACGGAGGAACCAGGCAGCAGCGTTGTGCTGGGACCAGGCATCAGTGTGGCCTCCCGAGCACCTCGGGCTGCTCTGCTCCGTGGGTGCAACAGCCAAGGGTCAAAACCAGGGAAAACACACATCAGAGGAGGGAATTTCAGCCTCGGTATGCGCGTGTTCCTGCTACACACCAAAACGACAGGAAAGTAACAACTGCCAGCCAAATGAGACGTAACAGCAGCACTGCATAGGGCTGGGAGTTTAAACAGCACAGAAAAAAGGGAAGGGTCAGTCTGTGCGAGATCTCTATACGTGAAGAAATAACACTGAATAAATCAAAGCCCAGAAACAAATTACGCTGTGCCCTGCATCAGAACAACCGTGTCCCCACAATGGGTGCCCCGGGTGCTGGGTGATGCCCCCTGCCCTGACACCCAGCAGGAGGAAGCACCCGTTCCCCACACGTGGGGACTGTGGGTTCACCCCCAAACCCCGCTCCTGGCACTGTGGGGACCCCGCACCCACATCCACACCCACACCGCTGAGGTGATCCCGCTCGGCCTCGCGCAGCAACGGGCTGGGAGAGCCTGAAACTCCGTATCTGGGGTCAAAGTGACCTGCAAAACAGAGCAGAGGCTCCCCCGCCCTCCGCCTTAGACACTCCTATTCTTGTGTGTTTAACCTCTGAAATAAAACACGATACAGAAATTCTTAGGGTCGTGTTTGCCATCAGTTTTTGTTGAAGAACCAACGAGCTTAAAGTAAATTATCTCAAGCCATTTATAAAGTTAAAATATGTTTAAACCCAGATTTCCTTTAAGTGACTTCTCAAGCCTTTGAGTTAAAAAAAAATACATCTTTTACAATGGTCACCAAGTCCTTTTCCTTCTTGGTACCTGCATGGTCGTAATCCTGGTGGAGGTTTCTGAAGTAAAAGGCAGAGCAAACAAACATTTCTGAAGCAAACCAAGGTTTTCAAGCTTGTTCCCTGTATCCCAAGGGGCACAGTTGGTTTCTCCCCTGCGTTCACTTCGCTTTTGAGAACACCCACACCACGCACACCGGTCAACCCATCCTGTCCAAGCCCCAGTGCTTCCCAAAAGGAGCACGCAGGAGCACGGAGCGGCCGCCAGAGCTGCTGTCCCTGGGGTGGTGTGGTGGCCACAGTGCAGTGGCACTGTCACTGTCATTGTCACTGTCACCGTGACCTCTGGGAACTGTGCCGGGCCACCGAGCTCACGAGACGGGCACTGTTCTCCATGAGACTGCACCCAACTCTTCATGGAAAACCTCCAGGTTTACTTTTCGGGTGTTCAGTGACTATTTCGGACCTGTTACTGACACATGTAACAGGAACACAACCCAGTGTCAGTTCAGGAGCCGTTTCCAGACCCATGAGTGCTGCTGTCCTCTCGGTGCCCCCTGCTGTGCTCCGTCTCCATTACCTGCAGAGCCCTCAGAGCGCTCTCCTGCAGACAGAGCCGTCCCAACCGCATCCATGAGGAAAGGCCTGGCTGGAGCTGCGAGGGGCTGGAGGGGCTGCTGGGACCCCGGCTCCAGCACCACCGCAGCCCTGGAAGCATGGGACCAGTTGGCTCGGGCGGGCGCTCCCTTCCAGAGATCGTGCTATTTGCTAACATAAAACACTTCTCAGCCTTTGCATGATCAAATACAGTACAATTTCTGCTCTGCCCAGCCCAACTGTCCTCTTTAAGGCACAATTTCTCTTGCTCAATTCACAGCTGCAGCCCAGTCCATTATCAGCCCTTTCTTTATGAGCAAATGCTCCATCCAAGCCCTGCCCCTTGTGCACCTTGTCAAGAGGGGACACAGAAAGCAGGGAAACACCCACCCCTTCTCCTGCCCACCCCTCACCAGCTCCTCCTCCTGCTCCGGCGGGGCTGACACATCAGAAACCAATGCACAAGCTGGACAGGACTGCACAGACGCTCAAGATGTCACTGGATGCACTGCAAAACACCCACAGGAAGCACGGCACAGTGTTTGTTAGGGTGTCCCAATGCGACGGTACCTTCAGCCACTCACACAACATGGCACTGAGGACACCAACCTGCGCACACAGCTCTGCACCTCAGACGTGCGCTCAGCCCCGGGGATGGAGGGGACCCCTCAGCAGCGCAACCAAAACACGCTCAAGCACTGGTGCTTCAGAGCCACCACACACCAGCCCCATGGGGCAGAGCCGAGCTGGACGTCGCAGGGACAGCAGAGGCCCTGTCCCACCTCGGGCCTCCATAACACATCACTGCAGACAACCAACACCATCTCCACGGCAGGGAGAGGAACGAGAGAGCCCCAAGCTCGCCATGACACCGCACAGCACGTCCAGTGCTGCATGACAAACCTTGTCCCCAGGGCAGCTGAGCCCGGCCCTGCCTGTGCGACAGACGAGCACTCACCAGCCTCAGCCGCCGGGCACTTGCGGATGGTGAAGATCTGCCCCAGGTCTTCCTCCTCCTCAGGGAGCCCCTTCTGGAGGCGCTGCAGCTTGCGGAGGCTCTCGCTGCGCTGGTGCTTCATGGAGCGCACGTGCTGGATGAGGTTCAGCTTGGCCTTGGTGGAGTAGTTACAGAGCACGCAGTGGTAGTAGCAGCTTTCCCCCTCGACCCCGCTCTCGTGATGCTGCAGGTGCTGCGAAGAACAAGGAGAGAGACGTGAGTTTCTGTTCCCATCTCCTGCCTCCCTGGGTTTGTCCGCTGTAAAGTGCTAAAAGCCACCTGGGAATTGAGTAAGAAACCACATTTTGGCAAAGACGCGGTCAGATCAAGCCTGGTTATTCTCAAGGCACCACGTGCTACCCTGCTTAGAAGCAAGAAAAACATAAAACACTGAAACGAGCACAGGAGCAAAAACCGAGATAGGCAAGATCATCTCCTTCAGTGGAAGCAGAGCCCGGATCCAACATCAACAACTGTTCACGACCTACGCATGGCCAGTGCTTCCATATTTAAAACTGAGCCTGGGAGGGGATCCAACTCCACGTCAAACAGATAAAATCAAATTTGATAAATCCTCATTGAAAACCAAAGAATAAACCCAAAGCAACCCGAGAACACAAAGAACCCATAGATGGAGGCCTGGCAACAGTGGGGCGCGCCGCCTGCGCCGTCCTCTCCATCGCCCGGCACTCGGGGCCTGGCACCCACGTTTCACCCCTGGGGTGGGAGGAAACGGCCTGGCCCGGAGGGTGGCTGTGACAGTGACTGGGGTGAGCACACGGCATCACCGCAAGGGAAACACGCCCTGCCATCCCCTGACGCTATCGCAGCCAGCGCAGCTCATTCCAGAGCACAGAGCCTGGTGATTTGACAAACCCCATCAGTCGTCTGGCACAGAGCTCCACGCTGCCGGGGAAGCCAACAGCGATTTGATGCCGTGCATCCCAAGGATGTGGCAGTCATTTCTCAGTGCCCCAGGGAAGGGTTCCCTGCTCACAGCCTGGCACAGCCGCCCCTATTCAACCCGGCAGGGCTAGGGTCTCACAGGAACTCTCCAGTTCCCCCAGTTCAGGCTTATCACAGGCAGAGGAAACACAGAGACCCGAGACAAACGACACACATGGCTCCCAGCGAGGGCCGATTGCTGCTCCCACCACACGCAGCTCTGCACCCCCCGGCCAGCCCCAGGACCTCTCTGTCTGCTGGGTCACCCCATCGCCCCCGTCCCCACCACGCACAGGAGGAGGGGGCTTTGGACACGATCTCTGGGTTTGTCAATCAAAAATATTGCCTACGTGCAGCCAGGACCTTCTGGTACCGACTCTGACGTGCGTTATCTCGGTTACAGCTCGGATAAGATTAAAGACACATATTACCCAGCGCTGTGTGCTCAGCCAACACGGAGCAAGGAGAGCCCTCTGAGCCTAGGAATGATTAAAAATAGGATGGGAGCTGCTGCCGAGGCTTCTGATTGGAAGGACGAGGGAAGAGAATAAATGTATTCTAGATCTGGCTAATTAGACTAGCCTCTTTGGGGATCGCGATGTATTTAATTAAATTCACTGTAATATTTGAAGAATCCACTAGGGCACTAATCCCACTGGTGCCCTCAAAAGGGTTTTTGCTGTTTTCCCTCGTAAGAACTTCTTCTTCCTCTCATTTCTATTGTTTGCATGCACTCCCCCCCTTCCTGAGCCAGGAAGGGAAAAGGGCTCAAGACGCAGAGTCAAGGTTGTGCTGGGCACCTTCGCCCGCCTGTGGCGCTGGAGGAGCCGAGACCCCAGGGTGCCGAGGCCCCCGAGCCCAGTGTCACATCACACGTCCCCTCTGTGTCCCATACATCGGCCACGGGGGGCCAGGGCTGGGCAGACCCCAACACCACAGACAAAATCCCCTCTCCGGCTGTGGCAGTGACGAAACGCAGGACAAGCACATGTGGTTACTGCCTGTCGTACCGGTAAGCTGTCCCCTTGTGAGAATTTATCCGTATCACAGGAAACAAATTCAAAATATTAAACCAGAACCTTGTTAGAAGACAAATCAACTTGAAAATCAAAGGAATATATTGTTCCGAGGAAAACCAACCAACTTCTGTCAGAGAACATTGATTTCTGCAAGGCTGGGGGGTGTTCACCCCCTCCCTCTCAACGATAGGAAACTTCCAACATCTGGTTCTTCACGCATGGCATGCAAAATATTGATCAGGTTTAGTCAAAGCTCCCCTTTAAATCAGAAACAGACAGAGGAACGCTCTGATGGAAACCACACGGCTCACGAGCACGGCTTCCCCGGGGACACGGGCTGTTTCTGTACCTACAGTCGGCGCAGCGTGACACCGCGCCGCTTGCAACACCTATCCCTGCACATACAAACCACACCAAATCGACCCGGCCGCCCTCCAGGATGCGCTCGGGTCCTTGGGCAGAGCCATGTGTGCTCCACAACGCAGAGACCTCGTCCTCTCCATCTGCTCTGACCCCTGCGCCGCTGCCCCAGCCTCACCAGACACCAGTGCCCTGCTGTTCGGCCCTGCCCCACCGGAACTGCTCGATGAGCATTTTGGGCTGATTTAGGGAGTGTTGCATAGCAGCCCCCCTTCCTCTGGGTTTGGCTCCAAGAAGTTGGTGCATTTGGAGGTCCTGAACAAGAAGAGAGTTTAAATAAGCAAAACCAGTTAGATAATTCGTGCTTACACGCGCCGCAGAGCGCAGGGAGCTGGGGTGTGGAGGTGCTCCCAGAACCGGGGAGCACTGCAGAGGTTTTGGCCACACCAGGTCATGGCAGGAGCCGAGCGCAGGGGGCGGCTCGTCAGCCCCATGGGCACATCCCCAGCACTGAAGGATGCCCAGCAATCGGCTGCTCCTGGGGGTGAAGACAGACTCAGGTGAACAGTACCAGGCTTGGAGAAATGCTTCCCAGGCCAGCGAGAGCTGCGTGGGTGACGATGCCCCCGGGACACAGAGCAGACCCCAGCACCGGAGCTGGAGGGGACCAGGAAGGACCTCAGCAGCCTCCCCAGGTCTCCTGGCCCTGTGCGCCTCTGATGTGCTGCACGAGATGAACCACGCAGTCCTGGCAGGGAAGAGCCCGAGTTTTCATGGCAGTCATGGGGCTCAGCTGTCTGCTCCGGGAGCTCCATAAGCATCGGGGCCGGCCCATTCGCCTTGCTCGCCTTCCACACCTGCAGCCCCGCGTGGAGCATTCTGGCAGGGCCACCCAGACGGAAGGAAAAGAGGAAAATACGGAAGAAAAAGAGGAAAACATGGAAGAAAAAGAGGAAAACATGGCTTTTCCATGCAGCAGGTTCAAAGGATGGACTCATGCTCTGCCGCATCCCACCAACGTCCTGAAGGAGTGTTACAAACCCATCCTCCCCTCCCAGCCCCTGTTTTCCCGCAGTTTGCTGACTGTGGGGTCCACACTCGCACACCCATGGGTTTTTTGCGGTAACTGGAGCAGCCAAACAGTGAACATTGCTGCCCACCTCCAGTCAAAGGTTCCTTGGCATCACCCAGGCCTTTAAAACAGCACCACGGGGTGAGGACAAGGAGACCTGGAGCAACAAATCTGGGTCATGATTTACTCTGATGTAGCACCTGGCACACGCACAGCACTGCCCCCCCCAATTAACCACCAGTCCTGTCTCCTGAACCCGTATTTCTGTGCCCTCAGCCCTGACGGATGAGGCACCGAGCTCCGAGGTGGCCCTGGTGGCACAGGAGGGAGCCATCCCGTGCAGATGCTGAGGGAGCGGTGCTGGCCACCAGTGGGGCTCGTGGTGCTCAAACACCTGCGGGTTCCCCCCGAAACAACCCCAAAAGCCACCCAGCAAACCGGGCTTGCTCCACCAGCCCTTGAAGTCTCATTAAAAGCCAAATATTGCTCAGCCTAAAGATGGAGAGCTCAGCATGGATTTTACTGAACGTTAAATCAACCAGCAAGCGTAGCCAGCAAACTCTGTGGCACTTTAACTTTAAATAATGCAATAATTATTGAATTTCCTTTTTATAACCGAAGTGCTGGAATGTAAACAATGGGGCTGTAATTGCAGGAAGGGGGGATCAATAGAGGCAATCGTTTTCAGCCATGTTAATTGTAAATACAATTGCTCCAAGATGTCAGCCTCGTTCTTCTCGCTCCCAGAATCATCCTAACGGATGACAGAGTCCAACTTTCCCATTACAGCTGTTCGCTCCTTTAAGAGGTTCTCAATCAGCTCTGATCAATCTGTCAAGATAATGCATGGAGTAAGTAAGACTCTTCCAAACACCAGCTCCCAATCAATAGCCCGGACCTGCTTAATGAGGAGGGGCCAGGGCCCAGAGGGAGGCCCAGTCCCAGCCCTGGCAGCCGCTTCCTCCGTGGGACCGCGACACTGAGCGGCTCCTAACGAGGACATCGCTGGTGCAGGCGGTGATGAGCAGCATCCCCGCACATCTGCGGTCCCCTGGGGTCGGCGGGCAAAACCCGACAGAGATTAACAGCAAAGCAGAGCCAAGAAAGGTTGAGACTGTATTCACACCGCCCTCACCTTCTTAATTGAGCAATGGACCTGAAAGTACTAATTAATCACTCGCTACACGAGGTCCCCAAAGATGAAGATCTGTAAGGGCCCATGGAAAGCACGAGAGCATCGCTGAGACTGCTCCCGCGCACTCGAGGAAGAACAAAGTCCATGGCAAGGCCTGCGCTGCCCTGGCCGTGCCCCAGGCGAGGCACCGTGGCCAAAATCCTCCCCGAGGGACAGAGGAAGGAGACACCACGGGAGGTACGGCAGCAGCCGGGGAGGCCGCTCTCCATCTGCTTTGTCGAAACGGGAACTTTCTGCCCCCTCTGCTGCGGCCACAGGGGAGCCGCTCCTGGGCAACTGCAGCTCCAGAGAAACTTCCAGATCCCCGAAACCCTCCTAGCTCTGCCCGGGGAGGCGCAGGCGCAAGCACTGCCGTGTGTGGAGACGAGTACAGGAGCGCCCGTATTGATCTTGCTAATTATAGTGATGAAAACAAAGCGCAATCAGAGTGCATTTCCTATCAGCTGCGCTGCAAAGCGCTGCCCTCAACCTCGCCTGCTCCTGCTCCGGCCGTGGCCTGTGCCATGGGACCCACGACAGCCCCATGTGTCTGCAGGGGCACCCATGGCACCCACCAAACACCCATCCCATTAACACCACACAGTGTGCACCCTCCTGTTACA